AAGAACTCCATTTCACTCATTGCCCCCCCACCATGCTGCTGGGTTTTCCTCTGAGAGGAAGAAGAAGAAGCAGAATCCTTGTTGCCCACTGAGCGATTAGATTTTCTCCTGACCTTACGATTCCTGATGGGGAGGGGGTCATTAGAGGCTGATGGCCCCTCATTACCCCCTGCACACTACATGATGCACGATCAGCGTGAAAGTCGGCCCAATTGAAAGATTCTCGCACGGCTGGAAAATCGCCTCATAAATGGCCCAGTGTACGCCCGGCTGAAAGGGAGGTTTGGTTAGAAACTTTCAGCTTTGATGGTTGGAATGTTTCTCTGTCTAAATCTGAAGCAGAATAATCCAGAATAGTGACTAAACATGCATGAAACCTTCTAAAGCTTAAGGCTGTGGTGGTGTTATGGTGAAAACTGCTCTAGTTTATTACCCTCTGTCTGTCTCTCTGTGATGATGTCATAGCTCCGTCGTGAGGTGAGGCTGAGGCGGGAGTACCTGTACAGGAAGGCGCAGGAGGACCGGTTGCGAACAATAGAGGAGAAGAAGCTAAAGCTGAAGGACGCCCTTGACAGTGAGACCAAAGCGCCTCGCCGCCTCTTCCTCTGTTATTCTGCATCAGCAGCCGCCATGCTGTAACGCGCTCCTGTTTATGTCCACAGAAAACGCTCCGCTGCCATCTGAGGTCCGCAAAGATGCCCTGGGGCTGCAGAATTTGGTGGAGTATGATGACGAGGGGGCAGAAGGCGAGTGTCTTTCTGACTTTGATGGCGGCCATGTTCTCCCTCTCAGCTGCTCTGACCCTCGGCTCTTCTGTTCCTCAGGTGTCAGTTCTCACATGGATGACGAGTACAAGTGGGCCGGGGTGGAAGATCCCAAAGTGATGGTGACCACGTCCAGAGACCCAAGCTCCAGACTCAAGATGTTTGCTAAGGTCTGATCTTTATGTTGAAATGTTGTTTGGGTCGAGGTGCTGAGGTCATGTTGATGATGATCTGAGAACATTTCCATGTTCTCAGATCACCTCCAGCCTCCTGCTCTAGCGTTACCAGAGCCACCTTCCTATCATGCATTGGAAAAGTGAAATCCTTTGACCTGCAGCAGCTCCGTAACCGGGGTCAGAGCCCTAAATCTTAGAACCAAGCGACTGGACGTCTGTCAGCTTTCAGTCAGGATGTCTTCAGGTTTTACATCTTTGATTGCTTTCAAAGGAATAAAGCCCTGAAGTGGAGGTCGGCCAATAAATCTACCTGGAAACAGAAAGCTGATCAATATCCCTAGAAAACGTTCAATAGATCTTCTGAACTTGGATGAAGAATGTTACACATCCTGTGATGATACTCGATGTCATGACCATGGTCAGAGCCGTGTTCAGCACCAAGGTCAGAGCCGTGTTCAGCACCAAGGTCAGAGCCGTGTTCAGTGTCGTGTTCAGCGACATGGTCAG